TTTTCACGCCGATCATCAAATACCTCGGGTTTGTCCTCGAAAGGTATGGACGTCGACCAGATCCGGAAAACATCGAAGCCATTAGAAAAATGCCTCCACCCACAGATCTACAGTCTCTGCGTTCCTTTTGTAGGCTCATCAGCCACTACAGCGCATTTTTGCCTGAGATGCACCGCTTACGTGCCCCGTTAAACAAGCTACTAGCCAAAGGACAACCTTGGAACTGGACAGCAGAATGTCAGAATGCCTTCGAACGTGTCAAGTCACTGTTGTCTTCAAACTTGCTTTTGACACATTTCGATCCCTCCAAAGCGATCGTTCTAACCACAGATGCATCAAGCCATGGGATTGGTGCAGTAATTGCACACACCTACACCGATGGATCTCAAAAAGCAATCGCCCATGCCGCCAGAACCCTTACCAAGGCCGAGAAGAACTACGGTCACATTGAGAAAGAAGCATTGGCCATAGTGTACGCGGTTAAGAAATTCCACAAAATGCTATACGGCCGCCGCTCCAAGCTTCTGACAGATCACAAGCCCTTGCTAGCTATCTTTGGTTCGAAAAAGGGCATCCCGGCCTACACAGCCAACAGGCTACAACGTTGGGCTCTTATCTTAATGTGGTATGATTTCGAGATCCAATATCAGTCGACAGTTTCCACTGGCAAGCAGATGCACTGTCACGCCTAATTGATACCCGTCAGCAAGAACATGAAGACACAATCATTGCCTCGGTGGAGCTTGAACCAGACGTGAAATTTCTGGTAACTGATGCACTGCACTGTTTACCAGTTACCGCAGAAGCTGTACGGACCGAAACACTTCGGGACCCAATACTCAAGAAGGTTACTCAGTTTCACAAAACAAGTTGGCCACGTTCATGTCCATCTGCCGAGTTGCAACAGTATTTTCAGAGGAGACACTCACTCTCTATAGTAAACGATTGCATACTATTTTCGGAAAGAGTGGTCATCCTCAAGACACTTCAGAAGCGTCTTATTCGACATTTTCTCCCCGGGCATCCTGGAATCAACCGGATGAAGGCGCTTGCCCGCAGTTATGTATACTGGCCCTTAATGGACAAGCAGTTGGAAGTAATAGCCAGACGCTGCCAAAAGTGTGCCGATGTCTTGAAAGCACCACCGAAAGCAGAACTCTGTTCATGGCCAATAGCTACTAAGCCGTGGTCCTGCATTCATGTCGACTTTGCAGGGCCGATCAACGGGAGAAGTTTCCTCATTATAGTCGACTCATACAGCAAGTGGCCAGAAGTATTTCTCATGGATAACACCACCACCAATGCCACCATTTCGAAACTGCGCCAAGCCTTTAGCAGATTCGGCTGTCCTGAGACAATGGTCACTGAAAATGGCTCACAGTTTACTTCAGCAGCTTTTAAGAAGTTTTGCTAGCAATGCGCCGTCCAGCAAGTTCGCTCGCCGCCGTTTCACCCACAGTCGAATGGCCAGGCAGAAAGATTTGTCGACACATTCAAGCGAGCCCTCCAAAATCAAAAGGAGAGGGACGTATAGAGGAGGTGGTTGACCGGTTCCTTTTCCTCTACCGATCAACCCCGAATCCACAAGCACCAGACGGAGTCTCTCCAGCACAGGTTATGATGAACCGGAAGCTCCGCATGCCTTTCGACGCCATCCGACCGGGCTCGGAGTCCCCTGTTGGTAAAAGAAACCGCAGAATGGAACAGCAGTTTAACCGGCGGCATGGAGCAAAGAAGCGACCATTCACGCTTGGACAGAAGGTGCTAGAACGTCACTACGGGGAAGGCCATGTGAAATGGACGCCAGGAACGGTCAAAAGCAAGCGCGGAAACGTCATGTACGACGTGAAGGTGGGCGCACAGGTCTGGCCGCGGCATGCAAACCAGTTACGGCCCACATTGTGTCAGCCAGAACAAGAAAGGCCTACTGACCTCCCGTTCGATTTACTGGGGGAAACTTTCAACCTGCCGAAGGTAACAGTGGACGACTGCCCAAGGTCGAGCAATGAATCCAGAACAAGAACATCGGAACAAAGTTCTCGGGCGCTTCTGCCAAGGAAGTGGACCGACAGGCAGAGAAAACCGTCCCGAAGACTGCAAGTTAATCCCAGGCTTTCCTCTTACACCTCGGAAGATATCTCAGGAGGGGAGGTGTCCGGGAGAAAGTAAGAATTGCCTTGGAAATTCCCTATTTTAGCGATTAATCGATTATTAACGATTATCCCATCCATTTCGAACGTTCCTGAATGTTCTTCTTCTACACGTGATCAAAATCCACCTGACCTCTCGGGAAAAGATATGGGGAACCACTAACCTTGGCAGCTGACCTTCCAATTCTAGAAGTCGAAGGTCAGCAGAAACCTATAAATACAGCCAGGGTCCTCAGTCGTAGTACAGTGTTCGTTGGCTGCGATTAATACGCTATTTGTCAGGGTCATTGGCGTTTTGCTTTTATCCTTCGGTTGGGCTGGAAGTTTTGCGGAGCAGTGAATTGTTATTTTTGGAGTTTCGTCTAGTGAGAAGATTATAACAATTGTGCCGGTACAGATTTGGCTGCTGCTGCTGCTAGGGTTCTGTGGAAAGCTGCGCGCCTCGGCACCGGGTGCCCGTCAGGACGCAGACGGATAGCCGGTGATGCTCGACTTTTATTAGCACACCAGCTGGTGAGTGCATCGGTTGCCGTGATAGGGGTGAAAAATGTCACTTTCAGGAGATGGGAGATCTTTCTGTATAACTTGCTGAACGGGATAGGCGGTGAAAGTCCGCTGTGCTTATGTTGACAATATTTAAGGTCTGCTGAAGGAACCGCCACTGCTTAGTCATGCCGTTGTTGTCGTAAGGTTGCTTCAAGGGCATGCAGTTCTAGAACGTCATGCAGCTGATTGCCGTCGTGAATTCTGCACCACAATATCTCTTAGGCTCCGTCATGGTCGCAGATATTCGCTAATGTGTACCTTGAGGCAAGACCTCGTGTAGAGAATTACTCCACCTCCAGACTGCCCACTAGAGCAGTCTGCTCGTGAGAGTTGCTATTCTAATATGCTAATCTCAGCGTCCTGGATCTCGGGTGCTAACCAGGTCCGGGCGAAAGCCAGTAAATCTGGCTGCTGCTCAGTACTGAGAAGAGGAATTCCGTTTAGCTTAATTTTAAGACTACGCACATTGTCAAATATCACTCGTAATCCGATATTTAGACGGAGGCTGGGTAGCAGAAGTATTTGCTTCCATCGAGTTCTCTGGGTTTACTGAACAACGCGAAAATCCACAAGATAAAAACCAGGTTCGCCGCTCGCTCGGGTAGGAATGCATATATTGAGGGGATTATAACATTCATCCTCTAACTTTGGGATACGGTCTTTAGTATTCTCCTAATATAGCAAAAAACTGCTGGATTATGCGGTCCAATTTATCAAACATCCCATACCCATACCCACTCTATATCGTGCGTTATTTGATGGCATCTCTGCTTCCCTTTCAAACTGATTGTCCAACCCATTGATGTTGTTGTATATGCACTATACCCAGGGCGCTCACCGTGAAGCGCGCGTCGGCGTGGTTTCATTGTTTTCAATTATTCGAATCCAGGTCCTTTGGTCAAATTGGTTTGCAAGGTTGTTCCGACCCGGGATTTTTTGGGTGTGTGTTGCATCTGGGGGGAAGATGTTTGTTGTTCTGGGTGGTTAAAAGGCAAAAGCGGTCATCGGAATAAAGCTGTTATAAAGCGAAAAAGATGAGGTCATGAGAGGTTTAAGAAGGCCCTTACTATCATCCAAGATATTGGAAAAGAAAACCAACAATAAAAAAGAAAGAAAACAACAAAGATTACGGTCTTTCAAGAACATATTTCCTTTCAAACCGTATGATTCTTTGATGCGGATTCAGGAAGACTTGAAGCGTGTCTAGTGAGCGCATTTATTGGTAGTTATGTTTAAGGCCAACTTCCGAATTAGTCAGGGTGCGCTTTGGATATCGAAAGTAGTTTGGCGAGTTGGCGCGAGCGACAGAGATGGGAAAGTTTGGAGTAGTCTTCGTTTTGGAGAGTTGGGAGTATGTGCCTTCCAAGGTACATGGAGTGTGTCGTCGGGTGATAGACTAGATTTGGGGTGGGAAGATAAAGGCAAAAGGAGGAGGACGACATTGTGGTAAGAAGCGAGGGTAAGTAGAGAGTAGGAGATCTGAGGGGTAAAAAGCGATGAATTGGGGTGGGGGGAAGCGATACGAGTTAGACTTGGGAGGGAGAAAATTGGGATGAGAGAATGGAGGGGGCTAAGGACGGCAAATGCAGTACGAGGGGGAGAATTGTTTCGTTGTTAGTCTCCTTTTACAAAGATCAACAGAGGGTAGCGAAGCCATGGGACATGGAGGGGGAGTGGATGGTTAGGAATGACGGTGAGGTGAGGTAATGTTATGTTTTTCGTGGCGAGGAGAAGATTGGAGAGGTAGGAAGTAGGAGCGGGAGTGTAGGAGTATGAGTGCTAGTGAAGCATGCAGCGGAGCGGGTAGTAGAGAGTGCGGGCGTTGTTCTGTCTGGTAATGGGAAGTGTGGGGGAGACGAATGGGCGAATACCGGGGAGCGGTGGGAGGCGGTGGGAGGGGTAGTGAGGATGGGGGTTGGTCGGAAGTTGTTATAAATATGTTTTTAAGAATCTCTGTGAGGGGTTTTGAAGAGTAGGGCAGATCGCGTTTCGTGGAGGACCGAGACGAGGGGCGAGATGGGGCTTGTGAGCATTGAGCGTGAGTTTGCTGGTTTTAAGTTTGTGGGAGTAGACAGAGAATAGAGTCAGCTGGATAGAAAGCTAGCATGGTGGGGTATGCGGTCGCGTAGAGGTTAGGCATCAAAAGTCAAGGGAAGACGTGGAGATGGTAAGGAGGTTAGGAGAGATGAGTAAAGAGACAGGATGAAAGGGGGGGAAGGGTTGTGCATTAGAGGGGGGCTAGAGAATATGTAGGGGAGGGAGAGTTAGATTTGGTGGCATTAATGGGAACAGGGCGTTGGGGAATTACGGAAGGGGGGGGGGAGGGGGCGCGTTGGGGGAATGTAGAAGGAAGGGTGAGGAGGGTGATGTGGTGTGAGAGGGAGAAGATGTAGGTGTGTGTAAACGGGAGTGATTGAGGAGCGGAGGGGGTGGGTGGGGTGGGGCGCGAGGGTTGGAGGAGGGGAGGGGAGATATGCGGGAAGGCGGATAAGGGAGGGGTTTGGTGGGGGTGGAGAGTTGGGGGTAGAGGTATGGAGGAAAGGACAACGAAGGAGGTTGGGGAGGAAACGAGGAGAGAGGGTGGATGGGGAAGGAGCGGGTTGGACTAAGGGTGGTGGGGATGGGGAGAGGACAGGGGGAGGGCAGAGGGGGAGGAGAAGAGTAAATATACTTGGGAGATAGAGGGAAACAGTCTTTTTGATCGGGTGTCAGTGGTGGGGGTCAGGGGGTTCGTGACGTCGTAGGCCAGTGGGCGGGATTCGTTTAGGGTGAAGGGGTAATGGTTGAGACGACAGGAAGAGGAAGGGGGGGAAAGTAATTAGCGAAGGGGTACGTTCGGATCATTGGCCGCATGTGGAGTTGGCTATTTAGTTGGGGAATGGATTTTATGAGTGAGATGGAGAAGTGGTTGTGAGTAGTGTGATAAGCAGTAGGAGGATAAGAGCGGGAGGGAGTGGAGGTGAAAGGCGGTATCTGTGATAAGCAGGAGTAGGAGAGTGGTGCGCGTTTTGGAGATGAAGAACATCGGATGGGGATGACGTAGCATGTGGTCTGAGAATAGTCTATTGGGGTGTAATAAGTACTAAAGCAGAGGGGAGGAGTTGCGGGTTGCGAGAGAGGTGTGGAAGCTAGAGGAATGGTAGGATTTGTGGACGTAGAGTTGTGAGGTTGGAGAGGGTAGGGGGGAGATATGGTGATAATTTTTGAGGGGAAGGGGGTGTGAAAGCTAATGTAAGTGAGGGAATTGGATGGAGAGGAGGGGAGGGGAGAGGAGAAGAAGTAAAAATGCTGAGTGAGCGGTCATAGGTAGATGAGGGGTGGACATGAGGTGTGAGGGGTAATGAGAGGGTGGAGTTACAGGGAGAGTAAGAATAAGAGGATACTTGAGTGAGAGGAAGCTGGGGAGGGATAGGGAAGATAGCAGTGAGGAGAAGAAAATGAGTGGGGCGGAGAGAACAGGAGAGGGGATAGGAGGTGCGGTATGAAGGAAAGGGGGGAGGGGGTAGGGGAGGCGATGGTTGGGTAGAACTGTAACGCTGAGAGATGTGGGTTGTTTAACGGAGGGGATGCGGGTGCGAGGGAGATCATAGGCGGGAGGTAAGGAGTGGGAGTGTATCGGCGAGGAGGGGCGTACGGCTATAGCGAGTGCTTTCTTATTAGATTTATGGTGAGAGGGTGAAGTGGAGATTAGGGAGGGATGGACGAGGAGATGGAGTAGGTAGAGGATTGGGCCAGGCGGCGGAAGTGGAATGGAGGGAGCGAGGTGGAGGAAGTGGTAGGTGGATTGGTGGAAGGGTGATCAGGGAAGATGGGGAGGTGGCTAAAGGGTCCGGATCGTTGTTTTCTGTGAGATTGGGGGACGAGAGAGGAGGGGAGCGAGGTGGGGGGGGTGGAGTTTAGGCTGTTGAACGAGGAAGTGGGATCAAATGGGGGGTGAGAGTTTGAGTAGTAAGGTAGTTAGGGGAGGAAGAAAGAGGGACAGAGCGGCCGGTGGATGTTGGGGTAAAAGTGGTGGGATGGCGATGGAGAGGGGGAGGGGAAGGTTGATGGAGGGGGATAGTTGGCGCGGGAGTATATGAGGGTGAGGAAGAAGGGATCCAGTGACTCTAAGTGGTGTGGGGTGGATAGGTGGAGGGAAGGCGCAATTGTGGGGGAAACGTAGGGGGGGAAGGGAAGGTTGTTGGGAGCTCTTCGGGCTGGGATGGAGGGAGGGGTGGTGGTTATTCAGGGGGAGCAAGGAGTGCGAGAGATTTTTTGGGAGGAGAGGGGTGGGGGAAGGGGGAAGTTTTTTTGTTGGGTGTATGGGGGTTGATGTGAGGGGAGTGGTTCTTTCTGTGGTTACTTACTTTTTGAGTGACGGGTTGGGGGATAGGTTGGAGGGAGAGGTATGGAGTTTATGTAAGGGAGATAGGGGACGTGAGGAGACGGGTAGTGGAGGGAGTAAGAGAGGTTGAGTAGGGTGAGGTGGTAGTGGGGCGAGATTAGTGTAGCATAAGGGCGGGGTGGTGGGGAGTTGAGTGGGAAATGGGTGAGGGCGGGGAAGGAGTAAATGGGAAGTAGAGGAGTGTGGGGGAGGGCTGGGGGGAGATTGGGACCTGATGGTGAGGTGTGTAGTGGTGAATAAAGTGGAGGAAGAGTAACGATGTTGGTTCAGTGAAGAGTTTGTTGAAGGAGGGAATAAAAGAGGATGATAAGAAAGTGGATAGAGGTGGTTTGAAATTAGGAGTGAGTGCTATGGGAGTGGGGGAAGGCAGGCGGGCAAGGTGGTAGTAATGGACGGAGCGTGCAAGTGATTAGGGGGTATGGTAGGGAGGGTGAGAATAGACGGGGGGTGGGGAGCTCTTTTGACGGAGGGAGAGAGGGCAGGGGGGAAGAGGGAGTGGGGCAGGAGGGAGAGCGTGTAGGGGAATAGTGGGGGAGGTTAAGATTATCGGGGGAAGAGCAAGGAGTGGGGATGGGGGGGAGTGAAGATGAAAAGTGGGGTAGGTCGAAGGGGTCGTGGGTTGTATTGTCGGATGGAGAGAGGGGAAGTCCTGCGGGTAGAGCGGGAAAGTTAGTGACGGGAGTGGGATTGGGGATTTAGAGGGTTAGAAACGGAAGGAGTGAGCAAGAGTGGGGGAACGAGGCGGCGGTATAAGGAGAAGGCAAGGCAGAGATGTTTGGGGGGACGATCCTGAGCGGAGCGGGGGGTATGAGAAGGGGTTTGGTTGGGGTCTAGGGTGTTGATGTTGGGCGTATCTCAAGGTGGGACGTCTCGTTGTTATCCTGTCGTTCTTTTTTTTGCTTTTCGCCGCCGCTCCTCTTTCCCCTACCTCTACTATAGCCTATAATTAATCTTACCCCGAGTTCTTCCCCTCTTTTAACATTATCTATTGCACTCAAAGGAGAAACATCTGATAAGTCCTCTTTCCCCAGAAGTTAGAGTCAGAATGTAACAAGCCAGCAAGGAACTGCGAACCTACCGAGCGAGCGGCGAACCTGGTTTTTATCTTGTGGATTTTCGCGTTGTTCAGTAAACCCAGAGAACTCGATGGAAGCAAATACTTCTGCTACCCAGCCTCCGTCTAAATATCGGATTACGAGTGATATTTGACAATGTGCGTAGTCTTAAAATTAAGCTAAACGGAATTCCTCTTCTCAGTACTGAGCAGCAGCCAGATTTACTGGCTTTCGCCCGGACCTGGTTAGCACCCGAGATCCAGGACGCTGAGATTAGCATATTAGAATAGCAACTCTCACGAGCAGACTGCTCTAGTGGGCAGTCTGGAGGTGGAGTAATTCTCTACACGAGGTCTTGCCTCAAGGTACACATTAGCGAATATCTGCGACCATGACGGAGCCTAAGAGATATTGTGGTGCAGAATTCACGACGGCAATCAGCTGCATGAAGTTCTAGAACTGCATGCCCTTGAAGCAACCTTACGACAACAACAGCATGACTAAGCAGTGACGGTTCCTTCAGCAGACCTTAAATATTGTCAACATAAGCACAGCGGACTTTCACCGCCTATCCCGTTCAGCAAGTTATACAGAAAGATCTCCCATCTAATGAAAGTGACATTTTTCACCCCTATCACGGCAACCGATGCACTCACCAGCTGGTGTGCTAATAAAAGTCAAGCATCACCGGCTATCCGTCTGCGTCCTGACGGGCACCCGGTGCCGAGGCGCGCAGCTTTCCACAGAACCCTAGCAGCAGCAGC